AGACTGACCACAGAGCTCTATCTCGTGTACCGTCACTGTTTGAAAATACTTCCCTTTGTCTGGTGCACCGTCAGTGACTGAAAAGACTTTCCTTTGTCTGGTGCACCGTCAGTGACTGAAAAGACTTTCCTTTGTCTGGTGCACTGTCACTGTTTGAAAAGACTTTCCTTTGTCTGGTGCACCGTCAGTGTCTGAAAAGACTTTCCTTTGTCTGGTGCACCGTCACTGTTTGAAAAGACTTTCCTTTGTCTGGTGCACCGTCAGTGTCTGAAAAGACTTTCCTTTGTCTGGTGCACCGTCAGTGTCTGAAAAGACTTTCCTTTGTCTGGTGCACCGTCACTGTTTGAAAAGACTTTCTTCCCTGCAATGCTACCACTCTGTGTTATGCCTTATCTCTGTCTCACGCTGTCTTTCTTCCCCTCCAAGTTCACCCGTGCCACAACGTGCTCGGATGTTTACCTCCCTATCACGTGCAGCAACATTTTAATGCACTTCTTGTACTGCAGGTAATCAATCGTATTTGTCAGCTAGTTTTTTTTTTCAAGACATAAGACAATTACCATCACAAGCACAACTGTAAATACCATTTATATTTACCATTTCTGCGGCTGCCAACTGGATGTGCAAAAGGCGGGAGTTTGATAAAAGTTGTTGATCAAGGTGGTCAGTAGACAGCCTACAGGGCATTTGTTGTTGTCATTGTTCACCTTCGGGAGAAGCCCGATCTCATTTAGCGAATCTGACAAGATGGCTCCCAATGAAAGCTCTTGACCTACACGAGCTAACCTGGGTAAGGAGAGTGTGTTGGCGCCCCGAGCTAATGAGGCAGAGCAGGTCAACCAAAATCAGGTTTCACGAGGAAGAAGGAAAAAAGACATGTCCTCAACACTTGGTACATTTTACTGTGTGTGAGACATAACGTCATTCTATCTTGAAGGCGGTAAAGTGGCTAGCCCATTTCTCCGGGCATAGAGGTTCCCGCGTCATAGGGTTTGTCAGCACTCCCCCCAAACGCGTGTTACTTGTGAAATTTTCATTTTATTTAACCCCATCTCAGGAGACCCGGGTTCGAATCCTTGGTAAGGCTCGGGATTTCTTCTGTTGGGGGCACACAAAATCCTCACCTGCACAGTCGTAGCGACAGCACTAGCCAAGCGGCTGTAAATCCTCAGACTCAAGACACCTCACCCGCCTCCCTTTCCACTGCAAAGTGGTAAACTAAAGGCAGTCTGACCCCATCTCGGGGTCTCTGAGATTTCGAAGAGAATTCCATGGACAATCCAATAGTGTAGGGGTGTCAGGGTGTGAAATAAAAAAGAATTCCCCCCTCCTCCCTCCCAGGGTCGCTAAAGACTTCAAATATTTCAGGCACTTTAACAGAGACATCATCATAGTCCCACAGAGCTGCGTGTGTCCGGGTGACCACTAGCTGTTGTTGACCGCCTGGTCGGTTTTCCTTCACCTCTGTGGTTCAGTTGTTAAGTGACTTGATGTCTGAGACCTTTACAGTTACATCAGTTGATTTTCCAGGTCCTTCTTGGTCTGCCTCTTCTTGTGAAAACAAAGACATCAATAAACACTCGGATCCACCAAACTGAAGTAGGAATTCACAGGTAAAAGATAGTGATACCTGAGCCGTCTGAACACCAGTCTGCTGGGATGGAAAAACAGCTGTCTGATAGAGTACAGGAAATGCTCTTGTGTGAGCGAACAGTTTATGCTCTCGTGTGAGTCAGTTTCAACTCTGATGGAAGATAGTATATGGTCAGATGTGAAATGCCAAATCTCCCTAAAGAGGCAAAAAATCTCAAACTTCCCACACAAAGAGCCACCCACACGATAACCTTAATTCTATACACACATACAACACAGCCACACATACCACTAACCACAAACAATTTATTGTTTCTTATTTTTAAACATGGTTCCACGGGAAAGGGCGATACCTCACACCACTCGTATAGCTGTTAGTATGCGTAACTACAATCGCTCCGAATAATAAAATAAGGCTAAAACCATATAAATATAATCACGTATGATTAGGAATCTATAAACTACACAAAATACAGATCCTGTTAGCAAATCCGTGACAGCAATCAAAAATTACATATTCTAAAGTACATTGTAACATTTCTCTAAATGTTAGTTGATATATCAAATATAAAATGAAGTCATCAAAACCTGCTGTCTACAGTAAGCAACTGCCAGCACAGAAAAGAATCCACAGTCAACCATACACCAATTTCCAACAAGTACAAGAAATAATATCCATCACTTATAGAAACATTAAATCAGCCAGTAAACATTAGGGTGTCTCCACAGCAAATGACTCAAGCCGCTTGCCTGGTGCTTCTAGAATCATGGGTTCAGTTCACAAATGCTGGTTTACAGATCAATGGGGAACGTTGCTAGGGCTGAGGAGTCCAAGCTTTGTGTGATGCTCTTGGTAGGCGGCCAGCTATTCTGCACAGACCCAGCCATGCGGAACAACCCAGTGATCCTTTCAACTGTAACTCTTTCTCAGAAAATGAATTAGCATATTGTTTCTAATACTTTATAAAAAATAATATAATTTGGATCTTCAATGCTGATTACACACTTCACATTAAACAAACAAAAATTCTAGCAACTCCCAATCTCAGGGCTTCACATTCTCCCAGTGCTGCCTGCAACATTCAATGATTTTTTAAGATTCTGACCAAACCTTCAATCCAAGTAACATTCCTGGTTATTTTATCAGTTTGGTTCACTATGTCACAGTACGCACAGGTAAAATATCAGTACACTCTCCCATCTTCCCTCCCTACAAAATACCTGTGCACTCTACCCTCTCTACAACATACCTGTCCACTCTACCATCTTCCCACCCTCTCTACAACATACCTGTCCACTTACCATCTTCCCACCCTCTCTACAACATACCTGCCCACTCTACCATACTTCAATCCTCTCTACAACATTCCTGTCCACTCTACCATCTTCCCACCCTCTCTACAACATACCTGTCCACTTACCATCTTCCCACCCTCTCTACAACATACCTGCCCACTCTACCATACTTCAATCCTCTCTACAACATTCCTGTCCACTTACCATCTTCCCACCCTCTCTACAACATACCTGTCCACTCAACCATCTTCCGACCCTCTCTACAACATACCTGTCCACTCTACCATCTTCCCACCCTCTCTACAACATACCTGTCCACTCTACCGTCTTCCCACCCTCTCTACAACATACTTGCCCACTCTACCATACTTCAATCCTCTCTACAACATTCCTGTCCACTTACCATCTTCCCACCCTCTCTACAACATACCTGTCCACTCAACCATCTTCCGACCCTCTCTACAACATACCTGTCCACTCTACCATCTTCCCACCCTCTCTACAACATACCTGTCCACTCTACCGTCTTCCCACCCTCTCTACAACATACTTGCCCACTCTACCATACTTCAATCCTCTCTACAACATTCCTGTCAACTCTACTATATTCCTATCCTCAACACCCCTGTCCACTCTACCGTCTTCCCATCCTCTCTAAAACATACCTGTCCACTCTACCATCTTCCCACCCTCTCTACAACATACCTGTCCACTCTACCGTCTTCCTACCCTCTCTACAACATACCTGCCCACTCTACCATACTTCAATCCTCTCTACAACATACCTGTCCACTTACCATCTTCCCACCCTCTCTACAACATACCTGTCCACTTACCATCTTCCCACCCTCTCTACAACATACCTGTCCACTTACCATCTTCCCACCCTCTCTACAACATACCTGTCCACTCTACCATACTTCAATCCTCTCTACAACATACCTGTCCACTTACCATCTTCCCACCCTCTCTACAACATACCTGCCCACTCTACCATCTTCCCACCCTCTCTACAACATACCTGTCCACTTACCATACTTCAATCCTCTCTACAACATACCTGCCCACTCTACCATCTTCCCACCCTCTCTACAACATACCTGCCCACTCTACCATCTTCCCACCCTCTCTACAACATACCTGCCCACTCTACCATCTTCCCACCCTCTCTACAACATACCTGCCCACTCTACCATCTTCCCACCCTCTCTACAACATACCTGCCCACTCTACCATCTTCCCACCCTCTCTACAACATACCTGCCCACTCTACCATACTTCAAGCCTCTTTACAATATCCCAAAAATAAAAACACCTAACGTTTTCCAGGCAAAAATGCATAAATCTGGAAAAAGTTCATTTCTACTAAAGGGGAAGTAAATACGAGCAAACAACTGATTTCCTCCCCTTTGACCATTTAAATGTGGTTCTGGTCACTGTGCCACAGACAGCAATGTGATGCAATATTGAAATTTTCAACTTCACAAGGTTAAAAGATCTATTCTTTTTTTTTCCTCACCCCAAAATAATTCACAGAGAAATATACTTTTGGGTAAATATAATCATACCCATTACAGAACTGCAACCAGCAGCGAAGCTATTACACAGGCAGACTGGGAGTTGCCCAGTGACAACCTTCTTTTCTTTTCCACCTTGTACCTCAGCAAAGTTTCGAAGGGAGATGCAGCATTTGTTGAACTCTGTCAAGAGCACTTTTAAGACCATAGTGACAACCAATAAAAATGACTTTCTTTGGGTGAGAGGATTCATTTGCAGCCCTGACAGCAAATTTGCTAATACACTTGGTTGTTCCGGGTTCAAATACCCTTGTCCAGGTAGGATTTCTTCATAATCTCATCAGTCAAGGTTGATCCAGCCTCAAATGCGTTAGGGGGAAGGAAGGAGAGGGAGATAGCAAAGACAATGATATAGTATGATATTAATCATAAAACCTGCCAGGTAAGATGACCAGCCTGATGCTGAGCACATAACCTGCCAGGTAAAACAACCAACCGAGCAGATAACCTGCCAGGTAAGACAACCAGCCGAGCAGATAACCTGCCAGGAAAGATGATCAGCTAAGCACATAACCTGCCAGGTAAGATGACCAGCTAAGCAGATAACCTGCCAGGTAAGACAACCAGATAACCTGCCAGGTAAGCAACCAGCTGAGCACATAACCTGCCAGGTAAGATGACCAGCTGAGCACATAACCTGCCAGGTAAGACGACCAGCTGAGCACATAACCTGCCAGGTAAGATGACCAGCTGAGCACATAACCTGCCAGGTAAGACGACAAGCTGAGCACATAACCTGCCAGGTAAGATGACCAGCCTGATGCTGAGCACATAACCTGCCAGGTAAGACGACAAGCTGAGCAGATAACCTGCCAGGTAAGACGACCAGCACATAACCAACATTTAGCAGACTGATACTGACCACAGCCAACATATCAGGTAAGGCTGCTGGTACTGACCACCTCACAACATTTTCAATGTGCTAGGTCTGATAACTAGCCTAATAATTGCTACATCTCCAACATCCTAAGTAAGATGACCGATAATATGGCTGACGTTATCAAAATGTCAGTGTGCTCCTGGCCGCACCAACAATCATTAGGCCGCGAAAACAAGAGCCTGCCAACACACCACCAACATGCCTAACTGGCACCGAGAATATACCGGGCCGCATGGACCTCAAAATACAATCACACTGATAAAATCATTCTATTATATTCACGAACAACTGGGTCCATTAACCAATCACATTAATGAAGTAGTCGCATCACATCAAAGAATAAATTGTCTCTACTGAATAACACCCACAATTTTGTCTACAACAAAAACTAGTCAGGTTATGAGGTGCCTCTCTAATTCCTTAAAACCATGAAAACAAATCACTTTCAACGAAAAATTAAAACAAACACTATTTTCATCAGTTTATTGTTTGCTGCAACAACCAGTTTCTCCGCTGGAAAAATGTTTCTGGGTGCCCAACAAAAACACACTGTCTATGTGCCTTGAACAAAGTGATTATGTCCTGCACAAACAGTCTACAGGCCTTGCACAAACACGGAGGCTACATACCCCTCACAAACACAGAGGCTACATACCCCTCACAAACACAGAGGCTACATACCCCTCACAAACAGAGGCTACATGTCCGGCACAAACAGAGGCACATGTCCATCACAAACACAGAGGCTACATGTCCAGCATAAACACAAGAGGCTACATACCCCTCACACACACAAGAGGCTACATACCCCTCACAAACACAAGAGGCTACATACCCCTCACAAACACAGAGGCTACATACCCCTCACAAACACAGAGGCTACATGTCCAGCACAAACACGGAGGCTACATACACCTCACAAACACAGAGGCTACATGTCCAGCACAGAGGCTACATGTCCAGCATAAACACAAGAGGCTACATACCCCTCACAAACACAGAGGCTACATGTCCAGCACAAACTATTAAGTCTACATGCCTCTCACAAATACAGTCTACAGGCCCCACACAAGAGTCTACAGGTCCCACACAAAAGGGAAGTCTAAATGTCTGGCACACACTGCTACACTAAATAATCCTCAGATACAAGGTGAAGTTGACCAGAAAACATCAAACCACAGCAGAACCTTTGTGCCAACAAAAATACAGCCAATGCAAAGCAAACATATATAGTGTTCAAAAATAAAAAGTATCCTCACTCTTAAGTTTCCAGTTAGTGCAACTGGAAAAATTGCTAGTTAAAGAACCTGCCAGCATGACTGGATATAAAGACAAAGAAGTAAATGATACAGGAGTGTCAAAACCTTGGGTGAGGAGGGGGAAAGGGCCTTGACCTCACAGCAATAATTTTTAGGGTGTACTTACCCCCCCCCCCCCCCTAAAAATGTGCAAGGCGGCGGCTGAAAGGCTTACCATAATTTTGTTTAGACTTTCTAATATCTTATTATTTTAATTATGTTATTGGTTTGCCATTCAGGATATGAATTATTACTGTATACTAAGCAAGGTTTAAGCCCACCGAGGGTCACCTCTAGAATATTACCAGGAGGCTGATAAGTTGTAACAGTCAGCTACAATAAGGATGTGAACGAAACCCCCACTAGGTAGGTAAGCATTCCTCATTGCCAGGCGACACAGAATTCAGCTCTCTGGTCAGATTTATCGTCACTGGCAGTGTATCTTATACTCAACTCGATAAGCTTGCAGATATTTTCTTGGGACACCCCGCACAGCTCCATTTGGGGTAGCCACATGTTGCCAGACTTGAAACACAAATAGCAAGATTGCAATTAAAATGTGGTTTTATTGACACTTTCCAAGCCACTTTTACGCAGAGTCAGTCAAGTTTTTATTATATACCTATACCAATCTCATTCACTAATCTGACACATCACAACATCAGCCATCCCTCTGATCCTGCCTACACTGACTTCGTCTACTCCTGGCACCTGTCTACCCACACATCTCATTCACTAATCTCTCATAATTATATGAGTCTCAATCACCGATACCATATATCCACACATCAGCCTCATTCATCCAAACATTAGCCCACACCTACACAATCACGGTGTCTACCTGTAGCTATTTACCTACATGCGCATCTACACAAATGGTTCCTATCGCTCCCACACATTAAGTTACTATCCAATACAAAAGAGGTCAAATCCAACTATGAGTCAGTCATCAAGATTACAGTCATAACACATTTCCTTGTTATGTATTCTATTTTTTTGGTTATCAGTTACATAGTTTACAGAGTTTTACAGTAAAACCAGTTTACCTTCAAGGTCAAACAACACATCCACACCAGGTCACTGAAACAGCACACACACACAAACCTCAGGGATGGTCACAAGCACACCATCGATGATGTTTCATGTCTTGACATTCAAGGATGTCTGCATACCCTGACAGCAAGGATGTTTCACAGCTCTGAAATCTAGGATGATCACATCAAGATGGCTGAACGGACTGGCACATCCAGGATGTTTTACGGATGCTTGCACATAAAGGATATGTTACAGATACTCTGACACTAAAGATGTTCTTGTATCAAAGATGTTTTATAGATGTTCAGACATTAATGGTGTTGTACAGATGCTCAGACATCAATTGTGTTTTACAGATGTTCAGATATTGTTTTATAGATGTTCAGATATCAAGTGTATTTTATAGAAGTTCTGACATCAAGGGTGTTTGAAAGATTTTATGACAAGAATGATGTTTAATGATGTCTTTGCATGAAAGTTCTCTGCCACACATCATGACATCCAGAATGTTCCCATCCAGACATCAAAGAAGATCACAAGAACGCCTGTATTAGTTTGAGTGAAGCTAAGGTACATCTAGGATGGGAGCTTCAACTACTGCGCTGGCGCTGAGGCCCTGAACTTGGGTAGCATAAGGCCAAACTTGGATTCAATGCCGTCAAAGGTTGCTAGAGCCATGCGGTAACCACCTATATGATCCGGATTTCTGGACAGAATTTCTCCCAACTTGACAGACTTGGCTTCTGAACCTTCTGGTCGGCTGGAAACAAAAAAATACCCAAAGGTAATATAAATAAACATAAGAATTGTGAGGACTGGTACCAATGTCTTTGTATATACCCAACTTTAATCTTCGTAAATCATATTTATGCAGTCGCTAAAAAAATACGAGCAGCGGCTAGCCGGACAGTTAAGAATGCAGAGCTCTCATGCAGGAGGCATGGTTTTGAAACCTCGGCAAGGCTGGGGATTTGTTTCTGTCAGAGGCAAAAATTCAGTCCTCTTCTGCACAGTCCATGGTGACAGCACCAGCCACGTGGACTCCCTTAGGTTCAAAGGACCCTCCCGGAAAGTGGTAAACACAGGCCATTATTTTTGTGTCTGTCCCTGTTCTAGGGTCTCTCTTACAGCCATTATTTCTGTGTCTGTCCACGTTCTAGGGTCTCTGTTACAGCCATTATTTCTGTCTGTTCACGTTCTAGGGTCTCTCTTACAGCCATTATTTCTGTGTCTGTCCAAGTTCTAGGGTCTCTGTTACAGCCATTATTTATGTGTCTGTCCAAGTTCTAGGGTCTCTGTTACAGCCATTATTTCTATGTCTGTCCAAGTTCTAGGGTCTCTGTTACAGCCATTATTTCTGTCTGTTCACGTTCTAGGGTCTCTGTTACAGCAATTATTTCTGTGTCTGTCCACACTCTAGGGTCTCTGTTACAGCTATTATTTCTGTGTCTGTCCACACTCTAGGGTCTCTGTTACAGCCATTATTTCTGTGTCTGTCCACATTCTAGGGTCTCTGTTACAGCCATTATTTCTGTGTCTGTCCACGTTCGAGGGTCTCTGTAACAGCCATTATTTCTGTGTCTGTCCACGTTCGAGGGTCTCTGTAACAGCCATTATTTCTGTGTCTGTCCACGTTCGAGGGTCTCTGTAACAGCCATTATTTCTGTGTCTGTCCACGTTCGAGGGTCTCTGTTACAGCCATTATTTCTGTGTCTGTCCACGTTCAAGGGTATCTGTTAAAGCCATTATTTCTTACTCTCTTAGGGTGACAAGGTTCACCGACTGCCAGTATCCCATGGGTAAAAGCAGAGCTTTTCTTCTGGTGGTACGAAACAGTATGCAGTACTAGCACCTTTTTAAGGTATCATTCTTTTCATGCTACTGTAATAAACACCTTGCAGCAAGCATCAGCCCCTTGTTCAGACACTTTGGGGTGAGCACTGGCACCATGTTTAGACACTTTGGGTTGAGCATCAGGACCTATTTTTCTAGAAAGAAAAAACCCTGAGGTACAGGCACTCATTCATTTTATCTTCCTTTCAAAGTCCGTGCCACACGGCGATAGCAGATGTCTATCCCCAATCTTCTGTCTCGTGTACTTTTAGTCAACTCTGACACAAGATTTTCCATGTCCGCATTTCGAACTGTCCAGCATCTTTCCTCAAGTCTCTCTCTGCCCCTCAAGAGTTTCCACCGCCATGATCTACTCATTGGCTCCTTCTCATGAAGCGATCAAATATGTAGGTTAATATTTTCATGACATCTTTTTCCCTCTTTTTTTTAAAATCTGCCGACGGTGTTCTCATACTTGGTCTATAAAACAACATCTTCCAAACTGTACCAACTGGCCAAGTGTCCGTAATTTTATTCCCAAAAGACAGGGCACAATTAAAATGACCCTTCGGAAAATCATTTGCAGATAAGATTCCCCCCACCAAAACAAAAAGTGAATCTAAATGAAACAAAGAAAATACATCAAATGAAACTGTCAACAGGTCTCCTATTAATTCTATGAGCTTGTTCAAACATACGCACCTGCCACCAAAGTCAACATAGAGCATACGCTGTAACAACTCGTAGGTGAGCAGAGTCACGCCAAATTGTGGTGAGGATCTAAACACACGAGCTGCAATCAGAAATATAGGTCATCGGTCATAAAGTATGTACATTACTGTAGGATGTATACAATCACAGATGTAAGATGTATACAATCACAGCTGTAGGATGTATACAATCACAGCTGCAGGATGTATACAATCACAGCTGTAGGATGTATACAATCACAGCTGCAGGATGTATACAATCACAGCTGTAGGATGTATAAAATCACAGATGTAGGGTGTATACAATTGCAGCTGTAGGGTGTATACAATCACAGCTGTGGGATGTATACAATCACAGCTGTGGGATGTATACAATAACAGATGTAGGATGTATACAATCACAGCCGTAGGATGTATACAATCACAGCCATAGGATGTATACAATCACAGCCATAGGATGTATACAATCACAGCTGTAGGCAGCTGTAGGATGTAAACAATCAAAGCTGTAGGATGTATACAATCACAGCTGTATGATGTAAACAATCACAGCTGTAGGATGTATACAAGCTCTAGGATATATACAATCACATCTGTAGGATGAATAAAAAAAAAAAAAACTGTAGGATGTATACAATCACAGCTGTAGGAAGTATACAATCATAGTTGTAGGATGTATACAATCACAGCTGTAGGATGTATACAAGCTCTAGGATATATTCAATCACATCTGTAGGATGAATTAAAAAAAACCTGTAGGATGTATACAATCACAGCTGTAGGAAGTATACAATCATAGTTGTAGGATGTATACAATCACAGCTGTAGGATGTACACAATTACAGCTGTAGGATGTATACAAAAATTGTAGGATGCAAACAATTACAGCTGTAGGATGTATAAAATTACATCTGTAGGATGTATACTAGATCTAGGATATATATATACAATCACATCTGTAGAATGTATACAAAAACTGTAGGATGAATACAATCACAGCTGTAAGATGTATACAATCACAGCTGTAGGATGTATGCAATCACAGCTGTAGGATGTATACAATCACAGCTGTAGGATATATACAATTAGAGATGAAGAATGTATACAAGCTCTAGGATATTTACAATCACATCTGTAGGATGTATACAATCACAGCCATAGGATGTATACAATCACAGCCATAGGATGTATACAATCACAGCTGTAGGATGTAAACAATCAAAGCTGTAGGATGTATACAATCACAGCTGTATGACTACACCATCAGAGCAGTAGAAAACAAACAACGACCACAGGTGAACCAAATGGCAACACATCTATGACTGTTATAAACTAATGTGAGACAGGACAGACAGTTACAATCCTATGCCAGACAGGACAGACTCTGGTCAGACAGTTACAATCAAATGCCAGACAGGACAGACAGTTACAATCAAATGCCAGACAGGACAGAGAGTTACAATCAAATGCCAGACAGGACAGAGACAGTTACAATCAAATGCTAGACAGGACATGTATATGTGAGAGAGAAAACTAGCTGCATACCTGGACCTCCCTTCCAAAACGCCCCAAATCCTTCTTCATGCATAATCTTCCTGGCGCAGTCAATAACCCCTGTGTATGTGGTTTGACCTTTACGAGCGGCCACCTGCAGCCGTGTCTTGATCACATCAGCAGGTGTCGGGATGAAAGCTGCTGGCATGCCTAGAGATAAACAAACATCCTCATCAGTATTATAAAAATATCAAGTCTCAGAAATGGCTCCCACTCACCACCCTTCCACATCTAAATAAATCTAATTACCCCCAGCCTCATCCACTTCTCCCCCACCCTTCCACATCTAATTACCTCAGCCTCATCCATATCTCCCCCATCCTTCCACATCTAAATAAATCTAATTACCCCCAGCCTCATCCACTTCTCCCCCACCCACATCTAATTACCCCCAGCCTCATCCACTTCTCCCAGCCTCATCCATCTCTTCCACCCCATCCTTCCAACATCTAATAACCCCCAGCCTCATCCACTTCTCATCCACTTCTAATTTACCCAGCCATCCATTTCTCCCCCACCCTTCCACATCTAAATAAATCCAATTACCTCATCCACTTCTCCCCCACCCTTCCACATCTAATTACCCCCAGCCTCATCCATTTCTCCCCCCCCCACCCTTCCACATCTAATTACCCCAGCCTCATCCATTTCTCTCCCCCCCCCCCTTCCACATCTAATTACCCCCAGCCTCATCCACTTCTCCCCCCCCCCTTTCCCATCTTCCACATCTAATTACCCCATCCTTCCAGCCTCATCCACTTCTCCCCCCCCCCCCCCCCACCCTTCCACATCTAATTACCCCCAGCCTCATCCACTTCTCCCCCACCCTTCCACATCTAATTACCCCAGCCTCATCCATTTCTCCCCCATCCTTCCACATCTAATTACCCCCAGCCTCATCCACTTCTCCCCCACCCTTCCACATCTAATTACCCCAAGCCTCATCCACTTCTCCCCCACCCTTCCACATCTAATTACCCCAGCCTCATCCATTTCTCCCCCCCCCCCCCACCCTTCCATCTAATTACCCCAGCCTCATCCATTTCTCCCCCCCCCCCCCCACCATCTAATTAATTACCCCAGCCTCATCCATTTCTCCCCCCCCCCCTACCCCCAGCCTCATTTTCTCCCATCTAATTACCCCAGCCTCATCCACTTTTCCCCCACCCTTCCACATTTAACTAACTCAGCCTCATCCACTTCTCCCCCCACTCTTCCACATCTAATTACCCCATCTTCATCTATTTCTCCCCCACCCTTCCACACCTTACCCCAGCCTCATCCATTTCTCCCCCACCCTTTCACATCTAATTACCCCAGCCTCATCCACTTCTCCCCCACCTTTCCACATCTTATTACCTCAGTGCAGCCTCACTCATTTCCCTGACCTCCAACAACTGCAGTCGAAGTTTTAAAAAAAACGAGCAGTGACATTCAGGTCATTTGAACCTTACATGGCTTTTATTTATCACACTATGGTTGGTAAATAAACTTTCCTCCCAGCCCATTAGGAATACCTATACAGATTTGTTGTCTTACTCTCCCAACAGAACTTGAAGGAATGATGATGATGATGATGAAAACATACCAGCTAGGGTTGCCGCAAGCAGAAGTGTGCCAGGCGAGTTGTAACCATTCTCATCGGCCAGTAACTTCTTAGCGTGGGCGTACGCTGGGAAGTAGATGGCACTGAAGGGAATATCTCGGAGGAAACAGGCCTTGGATCCCTGCGGATGATGATTGGTAAACCACAAGTTAAACACTGGTCTATTTACAACAGGGGCTAGGATCAAAGTGTTAGTGTTCACGTAGAGTAGAGCTTTCTAAGCTGTGTGTCATGACACATTAGTGCTTCAGTTGTAGTGTCAAGGTGTGCAGTGTAAACATAAAGGTATGTATATGCCCATATCCCTAATAGGAGGTTAGTCTAACCTCTGATCTGCTAGTTAAACTGTCACAAAATTATGTATGTCTAAAAGTGTGTCACCACCATGAACAGTTTTGAAAGCCCTGTAGTACAGGACAGATAATATTTGCACACCCTAGCACAAGTGGAGATTTCATATTTATATATATATACATATCTCTGTGTGTGTGTTTGTGCTTCATAGAAAAGGAAAGGATAAAATATATGCAGTCACAGAACATGGAAGGATAGAATATATTTGTATATATCACAGAACAAGGATAGAGTATATATGCATATATCACAGAACAAGGATAATATATATTTAAATTCTAACAACACAAGAGTAATATATTTGATTAACAAATAAGAAAGGGTCATATCTACATGCCACAGGAAGATAAGAAAGGGTAATATCCGCATACCACAGGAAGATAAAAAAAAGGTAATATCTGCATGCCACAGAAAGATAAGAAAGGGTAATATCCACATACCACAGGAAGATTTGAGCGGCGTCCGTGGCTAAGGCGTTGCGAGTCCGACTCGTGAGCCAGCATACCGCGATCGAAACCCACTGCAGGCTGCGTGGATTTTTGTCGTGGTATGGGGACGTCGCAGGTCGACCCAGCCTAAAATGGGTACCAGGATGGGCTGTCCTGGGAAAGTAAAGACAGCCGGCGTAATGCTGACCACATTACCCACAGAGTGCTGATGGTCTGTAAAAATATGGGACGCTCTGCCCATATGCCCGATGCGCCGAAAGGCGTGAAAAGGGAACTTTACTTTTACTTACAGGAAGATTTAAAAAAAAAAGGTAATATCTGCATGCCACAGGAAGATAAGAAATGGTAATATCCGCATGCCACAGGAAGATAAGAAAGTGTAATTTCCGCATACCACAGGAAGTTAAAAAAAGGTAATATCCGTATGCCACAGGAAGATAAGACAGTGTAATATCCGCATACCACAGGAAGATAAAAAAAAGGTAATATCCACATGCCACAGGAAGATAAGGAAGGGTAATATCAGCATCTAGATATCTTCATGTCGTAGCTCAAGTAAGATATGATAAAATTACATGTATGGCAAGAACTGTGCATATAACTAGAACAATTGTGGAGGAGGGCAAAATAAGAGCAAAGTAAACATAAGATCAGTAACAGTGAGGCAGAAAGAGGCCGGTAGAGGGAGAAAGGAAGAGAGACAGACAGAAAGAGAGAGGTGGAGATAGAGAGACACAGAGATAGAGAGACAGAGAAAGAGAGAGAAAGAATGCTTACCTTGTACAAACCAAAAAATCCTAAATCCCTGATGACAGAGATGGCACTAACTCTGGCTGTGCCCCCAATCTCACCGGCCACCTGCAGACGGATCTTCACAATCTCCAGCGGGTTGGTGAACACCACCTGAGAGGCTCCAGCCTGAAGGAAACAGACAGACAGACGTCAGACATCATGTGGGAGTGGATCTGCCTGAGATGCAAGGAACCAACAGTCTGCATGCAAAAAAGCCAAATATGAAGAAAAAAAAAACCAGATGTACATGCAAAACTGCAGTTCTGGATCAAGACCAAAGTCCAGGAGTGGACAAGCAACATGAACTTTCCATCAAAGCTTGCAGCTGGTGAAAGCTTTAAACAAAACACACACACTGCCTGAGAGGCTCTAGACTAGAGGTAGACAGAATGACAAGTCAGGCATGGATTTCATAGGCTGCAGAAACAACTGTATAACAATAATGGGGAAAGGGATTTTGCTGAGACATTAAAGTTTTGGGACTAGACAACCTCACAGAATGTGAATATTTTGCTGAGATGTTCAAGTTTTGGGACAAGATCACCTCACAGCATGTGAATATTTTGCTGAGATGTTAAAGTTTTGGGACTAGACAACCTCACAGCATGTGGAGAGTTTACTGAGACGTTAAAGTTTTGGGACTATATCACCTCACAGCATGTAAAGATTTTGCTGAGACAAAGTTTTGGGTCTAGACAACCTCACAGCAGGTGAAGATTTTGCTGAGACTTACAAAATGGGACAGTAAAGGACATTTTGTGTGATATCCACCGTTGCAGATCGGAGCAGTTATGGGCTGACATGTCTGCGGGGATGTCGGAGCCTCAACTAAATGACTAACATGAAATCTTCTGCACTTGTCCTTAAATTGCACACTGTGTTGCTCAATGCTAGGCTGTGATATCTACATCTTTTGGTCCAACACATCTGATTTCAGCCTTCTACAAGGTACCCCAGTGGAGGACTGGGTCTACCCCCCCCCCCCCCCCCCATAAAATGACACACTGGTCTCGTATCAAATGGCAAGAAACAAGCAGTCTTAGAATTAAATAACCCAACAGTTAGAGGACCGAATGATACAAAATGACATACCAGTGATACATGATAAATGACTGAACCATTTCTCTGTTGCGTACTGGGCAAATCAAACCAGCAAGCTCCACATGATGATGACAAACAGATGTACCTACCGTTCCTCCAGCCACCATCTCAGCCCACAATGGCAAAGTGCCATCCTTCTGCATCAGTTTATCTCTCATGAGATCATTCATGGTCAGTTTGATGGCCTTCTCGGGGGCCACACCCACCAACTGTGGGGCCAGGCCCCGGTACAGCCCAAAGAATCCTTCATGCCTGATAACCTGCACGCAAAGATCACAAAACCAAATATAAATTCTAATGGTTCAATACATAATATCTCTGTCATTCCTCTGCTATCTTCTTTGTCTTTTCTCTCGATCCTGGTCTGCCTTGCAGCGTCAGGTATTGAAGAAGCATCTTATGCGAGCCTTGATGTGAGCTACGTAGATGTCAGCTAAGTAGATGCTAGAGTATTTACGGCTCTGCTTTCATGTGTGGTGGTGCATTTCAACACACAATGTATCTGCTATCTTGCCTGTCTAATTATCTACACATCTGTCCTACCTGCCTAATTATCTACACATCTGTCCTACCTGCCTGTCTAATTATCTACACATCTGTTCTACCTGCCTGTCTAATTATCTACACATCTGTCCTACCAGCCTGTCTAATTATCTACACATCTGTCCTAACTGCCTGTCTAATTATCTATACATCTGTCCTACCTGCCTGACAATTATCTATACATCTGAGGATGTGGGAGATATTCAAAACTAAGGGGAAAACATCGGCCAACTTTCAATTAGGTTGCAACTGGTACAATTAGCACACTGACTCTTCGCTGGCTAATGAAGAAGGAGACGGAGCACTTGTGGGAATGTCCAGAGTAAAGGGATGTCAATTCTTGATTGACTCATTCATTCATCGTGACAGTAGGAAGGTTGAAGGTGAAATAAGCAGAGAGAGACAGAGGATGCTGGACAGTCTGACATCATGACATGGAGGATCATCTGTGCCAGAACTGATTGAAAGTACCCGAGACAGAAGGTTCTGGATAGACATGACTACCAACACCATACGGCATCGACTTTATGAATAATAAGTAATGTTCAAGATTTGACATATAACATAATATTAAAAGTGACACTGACCACACTGATGTGAGGATTATTTCCATATAACTGTTCTGTCGACTTTATTGATTTTTTTCTTACATAACTACTGTATATTCTTCTTCTCCATACACCTCCAAAAGGGTTGCTGTCACATCGTGCTGTGCTGGTCTAGGCTGCGACATCAGCCCCTTTTGGCCGAACACACCTCACTTCAACAAACCTCCAATTTACAACATGCTCATTCAGGACAGGGCTGGTGGTACATACCACTCCCCATTCCCCCGCCATTTCCCAATGGGGGCGCCCTTTCTCAATAGGGGCGCCACAACCTGCATGGGGAAATTCAGTTTCAGACCTAGTCCTTCAGATTCTGATCACCAACTGAGCTACGTAATTTCAAGATTTGTGTTGTGCTTTCTCAGTGGGCAACCTGCAAACTTTGTAAAGAGTGCCCCAGCCAGTAGGGATCAAACCTGAGGCAAGGAAGGTGATCTTCCACAGTTAAATATTCAACTAACATGTGTCATACCTACAGTAAATTCTGTATGTATTCAGAACGAGTCCAACTCTGACTGACCTTCTTGGCACAGTCGATGCTGTTCTTGTACATCAACTCCCCAACAAAAGCTGTTGACCTTTGGTTCTGCATCCTGGTCTTGACCAGGTCAATAGGGTAGACGGCCGTGGCTCCCGTGGCTGAGGGGAAAGGAACAATTTGGTTAATGAAAAAAATTTGACCTGTCTAATTACAGAGATGGCTGACTGGATGGACTTGTCTGGTTACAGAGTTGACAGATTGGACCTGAGTGGTTACAGAGGACAGATTGGACCTGTCTGGTTACAGAGTTGACAGACTGGACCTATCTGGTTACTGGTTACAGAGTTGGCAGACTGGACCTATCTGGTTACAGCGCATAACAGATTAGACCTGTCTGGTTACAGCGATGACAGATTGGACCTGTCTGTTTTTAGAGATGACAGTTTGGACCTGTCTGGTTACAGAGATGACAGATTGGACCTGTCGATTTACAGAGATGACAGTTTGGACCTGTCTGGTTACAGAGTTGACAGACTGGACCTGTCTGGTTACATCGATGACAAATTGGACCTGTCTGGTTACAGCGATGACAGATTGAACTGTCTAGCTGAAGAGATGACTGACAGGACCTGTCTGGTTACATATATAACAAATCACACCAGTCTAGATAGTGTATAGACAAACTAACAAAGAACCCTACACCTAGACTATGAGTTCAAAGTAACAAATAAGGCTGTAGAAGTTGCCTCACCTCCAGCCAAAGCTCCCAAAGTAAACCTGTAGGCACTCTCAGCGACCTGCATCATTAGTGTCCGCTCCGTGTGGCCCTGCTCCAACCGCAGCTTTTGCTACAGAACAAATATTTGTATAGTGTATTAGAACATATATGTATATATAAACATATATATATATAATGGGTGGTATAATGATTTTGGTCAAAGGAATATAGAACAGTTAAGCGGTTGTATATGTGAAAAAACTGGTGAACAAATGTCCAATGAAATCTGGTCGAAATGAGTAAAAATTACACACATGCTGCAAACAGGCAACATGCCAATTATGTCACTCAGACGAATGAAGAAGAAGTATGTATTGTGACAGGAATTATTTTTCATCCAGTTTGTGAAGAGAGCGATTTTCAACAAAGAATCTGCTAAAAAATGATGTTATCAATATATTAATGTTGTATAATGTTTCAGTGTTTTATGACAGCCTTGTTTATTAACTGTTTTAAAAAAAATAAGTATTTAGTTTCAAACAGGTGAGGACTCAAAGACAATTTATAAATATCAGAAAGTGATCTAATTTTCGGACCATGTTATGAAAACAGGATGGCAACATTAGAAGATTATCGACACCCTTTTGTCAAGGCTGTTTGAAATCACAGGTTGTAGGCAGGCAAACCCCCCCCCCCCCCCCCCCCACAGTCAGCAAGACACATGATATATCATGATAATGATGAAGTAATTAATAAAATTGTCACAATGATATTATTTACTGTTTATGCTTTCTGGTGTTATCATGTCTGGCCAAATACTTTAGTGCCCAGTACTGTCTCGCATGCTGTCAATAATTTCTGACACAAATGATACTCCATAGTTTATGTTCCTACAATGTTCTGGTAGCTCATGTTCCTACAATGTTCTGACAGTTTCATAATCTATTTGATAACTGAGAGCAAAATGTGAGAGGACAAAGACTATATCATGTGTCGACCTTCACCGTAACCTTCTGATCTTTGAGTTGAGGTGACAATGTGTCCTCTGGGCTACATCTGTGGCAGTTGCATTTTCTAATTTCAACCTTTGTCTACGCGGCAAACTGTTCTTTTCGACTTCTAATCACAGATGGATTTTCCACTTGGGCAATGAAACCGGGGGTTCCCCAAGCCCCTCACCCTTGCCAGAGAAGGCAAGACCTCCCGCTAACATAACAAAATTAACTTGCCCTGATAATAACACAAATGGAAACATTCCTCACCTCTGCAATTTGCATCTGAATTTTAAACGGGGTCTCCCGGCCTTCCAGGGGCGACAGGACATCCAGATCTGCATAGGTCATCAAACTGCCGAGATCAAAGTAAGGGAGAAAACTCATCAAATGCCATTCATTCAAAAAGCCCACCACAACCATCGGACATAGCATGACAACTTCACACAATCGGGTATCACCATTAGCAGAGTCAACTAAAATAGCATCATGTGCCATGCCAACAACCACAGGCAGTTCACCAACCGACATTAACACAATATTCTGATGAAGTAAATATGTTCACAAAATTGTTCTGTATAATTTTACTGTATTCATTAGTGTTCTAAAAGTTGGGGGGTTGAAGTGTGGGCCTGACAACTCCCACCTTTGTCAAACCTCATTTTCCTCGGGAAACATGCCGAGCCTCCATCTAAAGTCACCAACTGAGAGGATAGGACCAATCACAGACATGAATGGAGGTGTGTGACAGCAATGAATGTCAGCCATGGACCACAAGGGTTCGGAGGGAAAGAACAGGCCAATCAGAGAGACGAATGGAGGCATGTGATGACAATTAACCCCAGCAACGAATTTCAAGGGTTCGGAAGAAAAGACCAATCACAGAGATGAATGGAGATGTGTGACAGCAATGAAGATGCAGCAATGAAACTCAAGGGCTCAAAATGCTGAGAACAACTGCAATCTATGGTTATTTTCATGGGATAATTCCCAGCTAAAGATAATTTTATAGGATAACCATAACATCTGGATATTTTCATGGGATAATTCCCAGCTATGGATAATTTTATAGGATAACCATAACATCTGGATATTTTCATGGGATAATTCCCAGCTATGGATAATTTTGTAGGATAACTATAACATCTGGATATTTTCATGGGATAATACCCAGCTATGGATATTATTAAGCAATAATTTCAAGTGCATAGTATTGTCATGAAGCGACAATCATCCGTATGTAGCAACAGGATACCCAAGTTAACCAAGCTGAAACCACCATACAAACAACTATACAACCATATCACGAATGGGGCAGCAGTGTCTGAACACTGCAGGCACACAATTAACAAAATGTTTACAAATGACACACGGTTACTGACTACAAGAGAACAAATGACACACGGTTACTGACTACAAGAGAAGAAGAAAAAAAAACTATATTTACAATATTCAAAGAAAAGTTAAGTTCACAAATCAAATTGTAAACAAATTTAGAGTTCCTTTCTCTTTATCTTAATTCACCCCATCTCGGGTGTTGAGAGATTTTCAAGGAATTTCCCAGGAAAGTTGCATATTCTGGGGTTGGACCTGCATCCATGTTCATACAATGTGTGAAAAAGTGTATGCACTGGGTTGACAAACTGTCGTCCACAAAAAAAGTGCACAACTTTTGGGTAAGCACTCGTGCAACTAACTTTCACTGTGAATGTGCTGGTAGTTTTTAGCAATTATTGCATCATAATTGTCAATGTGTGTTTTCTGTTCATTTTGCGTGAAATTAACACTGACTAACACTAACCATAACATAGGACTTTCCCAGGAATCCCCCACAAAACCTTGAAGGTCCCGAGATGGGGTGAACAAATAAAAGAACAAAAAATAGTCATCAAATGTTGCTCTCTAAGGAGAGTTCCAAACTTATTGGAGTGCACAGCCTCATATTGGGCTCTCAAAGGGTTTTTCTGTGGGGTTCCCAGGCAGAGGTTACATATGAACATTTCCAAAAACTAACAACAACAAAATCAAGTCAGCGTGTAGTACAAAGAGATTTGTTTGCGGAAGGCATGTGGTGCCGCCCAGCTTGTTATTGGTAAATTCTTTGTTATTCATGAGTGCCTAGCCTTGTTACTTGTAGCCGTGTAGGATTTTGTTTCTATAAGAATTAATTCATTTAAATATAATAAACTATGTTGACAGGAATCAAATGATATCTTTCTACATTTCAAAAAATTTTTTAATGAAAGACAAATACATTGGTATCAAATTTATTAATGATCTGTGTAAAACAGTTTTATTATTTTTAAGGATTTTTTCCCAGAATTCCAATCGGACAATGCCCTAATTTGTTAATTGCGTCTTCTGTTAAATGGGTTAAGTATGTCATAGATCAAAAGACCTTTTTTTTTTAAATTTAAATTATACTGAAAACTCCATTTTCTGTGCATTTGTATTTACCCAATTAAAAGCCCATTTCTGATGTATGGGGTCAAGGGGTCACTTTGCCTCAGTAAAATGGGGTCACAACTCAAAATAAAGTTTGGAAACTGCTTCTCTATAAAGTATGTAGCAATACATGCTGGCCAGGTGACAATAATAAACACATACCAAAACAGCTGGGGTAACTCAAATAAAATAATTGGTGCTAGTTCAAACAAAATATAAATCTGCAACAATTCAAATCAAATACCACATACATTAAGTCTGATTAAACAAAGATCACAATGTAATAGATTTTTAAAAAAAAATATGAATTTGCAGAAATTCAAACAAAATTAAACTATAGCAGTTCAAACTAAAATATGAAGCTATGGCATTTCAAAGAAAATGCGCATGCTATTATAGTTCACAGATAAAGCTTGTGCTAAAGAGATGATTAACAGTGAACAAAATGTTAATGTAGTTCCTACTAAATAGTTTAATAAACGCAAGCAATGCAGTCCATGCCAAAAGCTCTCGCTTGTAAGTATTTACAATTGAATGCAACAGTCCCAATAATAGTAAAAGCCAAACTGTTCCTGCACTCCTGCATTATGTCAACTGTGCCTGCACTGTGTCGACTGCGCCTGCACTGTGTCGACTGTGCCCGCACTATGTCAGCTGTGCCTGTACTTTGTTAACTGCCTGCACTATGTCAACTATGCCCGCACTGTGTAACTGTGCCTGCACTGTGTCGACTGTGCCTGCACTATGTCAACTGAGCCTGCACTATGTCAACTGTGCCTGCACTAGGTCAACTGTGCATGCACTGTGTCTGCATTGTGTCAACTGTGCCTGCACTATGTCAACTGTGCCTGCACTAGGTCAACTGTGCCTGCACTAGGTCAACTGTGCCTGCACTATGTCAACTGTGTCTGCACTATGTCAACTGTGTCTGCACTATGTCAACTATGCCTATGGTAATGAAGTCAGTTATGGGGTTTATTGGAGCCATGACAGACAATACAGAACTCTTAACCCGTTTGCCCCGTTTAAAAAAAAAAAGTACTTTTTTCAAAAAAAAATTTTAAAAACAATTCTATCAAGTCTCTGCAACTCTATGCTAAGAAACAAGGCGAAGAGAAACAAGTTTAGTTAGTTGCGTATCCCTTATAGGACATTGCAGAACCAACCACAGCATTTTTTACTGTTGAAGTTTTTCTAGGCAAATTTACATCCAGTAGTTTGCCATTGCTTTCTGGACAGTCATCTTCTCGATACCACTGTCAAAACCAATGCAAGGCCCGCAGCTAGGATCAAACCCAGCACCCCAGGATTACAAAGTGCTGTGTGCAACGGCCTAAGCCACAGATGCCAAGGGAAGTAAAGAAGCAGAAGATATTTGTATGAGTGAGTGACCTTCAATCCCACCAGCATCGCATGAGGGATAAACACCCGGTTTCACAAAGTACCATTAATCAGAAAAGAATCACCTGGGTACATGTCCCAGAAATTCCATTTAACTGTTAGCTTAAAACATAGAGGTTATTTTTTAATATATTGTAGTCTTGTTCCGTTGTTATAAAAGTATTGGGGGGAGGGTACGCTGAACCACTAGACACCAAGCAGTCCTTCACTGCAACCGTCAAGCAACTAAATATAATGATTTTAAATAAGTTTGTTGTAATCATTACAATTTTTTTTAAACTCAAATATAATTTTGATTGGTTTTGTTTTTAAGTGAAGGGAAGTAATCAATAAATTCAAATGAAGCCAAGAATTCAACTGCTTTCCTTCCCATTGACCATAATAAACTTAATTTTGTTCGACTTGGTCCACCCAGAAAAGTGACGTAATTATGTAACTATTCTGAAGTCGACACTGACACCAAATTTCTTAACTGTGATCTCCCCCCCCCCCCAAATTGAATATTACTTCAAACCTGTGATCATAGAGATGCGAACTGCATGTTCAGTGGCCACAGAACTGGCAGTATGCCTTGTGCAGTAATGTGTACACACCATTCACTGCTGCTGTGGAGTGACTGCCACGTCTATCAAATATAAACTGCAATTCCAGTGACAGGAAGGCACCTCTGGCAGCTGCCTTGCACACTTGATGCATGTGCAAGCTGCTGGATTTTACCAGGACTGCTGTTCAATTTTCCACATGAGACAGTGACAGGCATTATGTGTGGTTTTCACTGGCACAGGAAAACAGCAATTAAAGGGTGACCCGTCTGGTCTGCCATGAAGCGGTAAACATGACAGATAAAATCAGGGTTACAACAGTTACATTACTGTGAAGGAAGGAGTGGTGTTAGAATGTTATATAACTACAGTACGGTGAGATAATGTATGCAGTATGATATACTTCAGAACTACAAAGTTATAATTTCAGTAAAATGGTACATAACAGAAAATTAATCATACAGGCACACTAGTTGACTGGGAGGGTAGAGGTGAAAGAAAATGTTACATGCACCTGCATCACTACAAGGATAGAAGCTGGATCAACCCTTCCACCCTGAGAAACTGAAAAACAAAACCAACACTTGCGGTTGGGTTTAACTCCCCATAAATGTCCCTTTTCCGACTTGCCTATAGTGATATGTTCAGGAGACATTTAATGCTATTAGGCTGTGCTCGTGTCTGCGCAAATGTTCAGGAAATATATATCTATACTAACAATACTATTTACGGCGAGTTTTCATAAGCCTCGCTGTTAGAGGGCAGCGCATGAGTGATTTATGTATTTTAGGCCACAGGGACATATTCAATTGAATGCTTCGATTGTATTTATTGATGAATTGTTTCGTATTTTGAAATTTTTCATGTAGATAAATAAATGTTTAACCTATTTGTTAGTAACATGTCTAAAAACTGCTGAACTTTAAAAAAAATCGACATATTTTCCGTGTTCCCGGGGCAAAAGGGT